GGAAAAGTAGGAGTCAAATGTGGTGGCTTTTATTACCCGTGTGTCCCCATTTGCTCTGACATTGTGTAACCTCAGTAGGCCCAGCTATGCAGAAGACTCAGGTGTGGTGTAACTTGAGGTCAGAGTAAGGAGGACAGATCCTGCATAAGGATGTCAGGCTTTTCTGAGTGAAATAGGGGGCCATCGCAGGGTTGCAAGCAGGGTTCTAATTTATATTCCAGAAGGATCACCACAGCTGCTAGACGATTGAGAAAAAAACGAAGGGCCCAAGGGTAGAAACAATGAGTCCAGTTACGTTACTGCAAAAATCCAGGCCAGAAAGTCAGGCATGGTAGTTTACACCTGTAGTTCCAGCTTCTGGGGAGGCTGAAGCAGGAGGCTCACTTGAGCCCAGGAGTTCAAGGTTATAGCGTCTATGATTGCACCTGTGAACAGCCACTGCACTTTGGCCTGAGCAACGGTGAGACGCTATCTCTGGAAAAAAAAAAAAAAACCCAGGCCAAAGATGAAGGTGACAAGAGATGCTTGGATTCTGGATGTGTTTTGAAGGTGAGGACTATGGGGTTTTCAGGGTGATTAGATACAGGATGTGAAAGGCAGCTTGATGAGGACGCCAAGAATTTTGTTCTGAGCAACTGAACACATGGAATTAACATCACCATTGGCTGATGACCCGGTCCACACCCAGCACCATGCTGGGCATTGGGGCTGTGGAGGTAAGAACAGCATGGTGCATGGCACCCAGATGAGGTAGCCAGACATCTAAACAGATCATGAAAATGTGATGCTCTGGAGGTGTCTATATTTTCCCTGGGGGTGCAAGAGGTGAGGGCTAAGGAAAGCTCTCTAGAAGCGGTGACAGTTGAACAGGGTTGCAAAGAATGAGTGGAAGTTTTCTGGCTAATACAGAGAGGAGGACTTGAGGCAGAAGGAGAGACAAGGGCGGAAGTGAAGTGCCCTGAGGAGCATGACTTATGTCTGGAAACTTGCAAGTGGGCTTCTACACAGGAGTGCGTCGGGGCTGAGTGGAGTGTGGCACGTGAACCACATCCAGGACAGCCATTTGCAGTTTATCCGGACATGACGTGATCCACAATTCAGAGAGCTGTGAGCTAAACGGGCCTGGGGGACATGAGGTAGTGGCAGGCATCACGACAGGGGCGAGGAAGGGAATGAAAGACCACGAAGATATGCCAGGCCCTATCCTATGGTTGGACTCGAAGCTAAGGCTGGAGAGAGTGGAGTCAGACATAGCTCTTGGAGGTCCGCCTCAGACACCACTCACTGTAGAAAGCCCGGGAGCAGCATGGCCAGGAAGGGAATCTAGTCTGGGATGTTACGGTGAAGTGCCTGGCAGCTCGTCTAGGTAGGGTATGTCCCGTGATGGGCAGAATCTAGAACTTAAGGAAGGTTCTAGATGGGAGGGAGAGTCAGGAGTTGTCTGTGTGAAAGTGACCAGATTCAGGGAAGATCGAGACTGGGGCCTGGGAACCAAGCTCAGGCAGGTGTGGTCAGGAATGCCCTGACCAGGGACCAGGAGAGCCGATGAGGCAGACACTGGGTGCCTCTGTTCCCTCTGACCCAGCTTCCCTTTCCAGTCTCCCCAAGGTCCTGATTTCTGCTGGTGAAGTGGTCGAGGGGAGGAGTCTTCCATCCAGAGCTGTGGTAACTGACTCATGGATGGCCATGTGCACTGAAATGATCCAATCATGGTGAAACCCAGGACTTCTGCTGGGACATTGTGCTGAAAACATGCTCTCTTTTGTTTCCTCTGGACTTGAACCAGGAGACACGTCGTTTTAGAAACTGTTGGCAATTATCTTGAGACCTCAAGGAAAGGGAGACTTAGGATGAAGCCCTGCCCCCAAAAAGAGAAAGATACTGAGTTGTTGGTGACATCAAGATCTGGGACCAAGTTTGCCACCTTTCAACTTCTCTGCAAGATATTTCCTGTGTTTTTTAAAGCAGTTTAAGTAGTTTCTGATTCTTGCAACCGAAACCTCTAGCTGATACACCTGCCATGAAAGTCAAAAGTCACTTAGAAATTCGCCTTTAATGTCAAATGCCCTAGAGAGAAAAAACATAAGCAATTAGGTCACTGGTAACCTTGGAAACAGCATGTGCTAGTGGAAAGGAAGGGAGCTTTGGAGTCAGACTTCTATCTCTTTCCGGTACTGTGCTCTCCTGAGCCTCTCTGAGCCTCTTCTGTGAAATGGGGCAGCATCCCACGTTTCATTAGATTCCTGTGGGGAATGATTAATGAGACTGTCGGGTGTCTAGCGGAGTTCAGTAAAGGACACAGCAGGGATGGAAGTCAGACCGCAGGAGACTGAAGTGCACAAGAAGCGAGAAGACAGAACGATGAGCAGATTATTCTTTCACAGATAAAAACACAGTTCACAGGAAATGAAGTCCAAGTGACCAATAAACACACAGTTATGCTCAGTTTCGCTCAGAGGAGTCCAAGTCAAAGCAGCAAGAAGCCAGGAAACCAGCCCTCTCATACTCAGCTGGCAGGGATGTAAATTGATTCACTCAGATGGCAATTTGGCAGTGTCTAGAAAACATTAATTGAACATATTCTTTGAGTCAGTATTCTTGTTAAGAATTCACTTTACAATTTCATTTCACAAGTACGTAGGAGCAGCAACATCTATAACGGCAAAAAATGTAGCCTCCATGTGTTCCAGTGGGGACGAATTAGATGGTGAGATCTAGATAACGGAATACAACACAGTTTCTAAAAAGAACATGCCTCAAGAATACTGACCCATGAAACCGCCTGCCAAAACCAGTATGAACAGTATTGGCAGCAATGTGAATGGTGTGCTTGGATTTGCATAAGCATCTCGGCCTCCTTTTTGAAATCATCAGTGGTTCTCTGGGGGAGCGGGAGAGGAAGGCAGGAAACTGATTCCTCAGAAAGATCTTACATGAAACCCTAACACTCATTTGAATGGTTTATGGATTTTTTGGCATGTTCCATTTACAATAAAACAAAATTTGGTTCAAAGATTTGAAGGGGATGATAGAGCTAAAGGGGTTCAGAACAAGGGGCATGTGTTTAAGGCAGAAGGGAGGAAGCAGCCTATGCCCAACTTGGTGCCTCTGGGCCCTGCTGAGAGCCATGGGCACTGGGGGAGGGGCTGGAACTGCAGAAGGCAGTGACTCAAAGCCTGGCAGTGGCACTGATGACTGGGCAATCTCTAGGGAGATGGAAATGTTGTTAGTACTGCATGACAGTTAACATACTGCTTCCCTCACAGGGCGAATGGAGCCACAGGAATGCTGAACACAAGCTCAGTCAACAGTCCCACCGCAGCGTGGTCCAGCTTCCTCCCATGGACAGGGGCTCCATTCAGCCACCTGTGTCATCTTCCCAACCAGGGATTGCCATCCCCTTAAAAGAACCTTTGTGAGCTACTGTGCTTCAGGGACTTCTGCTTTGGCGATTGTTGATCACTACCTAGACAATTTCTACCCAGGGGCCCTACTCTGTGGCCTACTGGTCCACATCCAGCCCAGACTAATTTCCGAGCCTGTAACTTCTAAAAACTCTCCCAGCTGTTTTGCAAGTGGCTGGGTTACCTGAAGACACTGACGAGTCACTTCATCAACACAGCATCACTTATGGCGCATCTAGATGTAACTGGCTTTTGCCAGAGATCCAAAGTGGACTAAGACTTCCAAGCTGTTCTCCGGGAAATTAGGGGCTTCTGAAGAACCAACATGTTCGATCACGATGCAGAGCAGTGAGATCCAGGAGGGAGAGCCAGGCTGAGGAGTCTGGGGTAATCCCCCTGGGAAAGTCAGGACAAAGCCAAGCTCTGAGGCAAAAGTGAGAGCTGAGTGACAAGGGAGAAAAGAAAGGCAGGAGCACGTGGGAAAGCAGGGAGTGTCAGGGAACCTGCTGGAGAGAGGAGGGGCTCTCATGGAGGTGCGCCTGCTGGGCCCCCCAGGCCTCATGCCAGGCTGGACTCTGGAACCACTGAGTGATTTGTGAACCCAGGAAGAGGTAGAGTCTTGACTCTGGCCTGAAGATTAAGGTGAAAAATGCACAGATGTTACAGGAAACAATCTATCCGGCAGTTTTCTTAATTTGATCATATAGTCATTACAAATACATTTAGGCCCTGAACTAAATGAATTTAGAAGTTTTAATGAATTGGGCAAGGCATGGTGGCTCAAGCCTGTAATCCCAACACTTTGGGAGGCCAAGGCAGGAGGACTGCTTGAGCCCAAGAGTTCAAGACGAGCCAGAACAACATAATGAAACCTTGTCTCTACAAAATTAGAAAAAACGAACCAGGAGTCATGGTGCATGCCTGTAGTTCCAGCTACTTGGGAGGCTGAGGTGGAAGGATCGCCTGAGCCCAGGAGGTCAAGGCTGCAGTGAGTCATAGTGGTGCCACTGCACTCCAGTCTGGGTCAATGAAATAAAACATTACTGGCAGACTTAAACTAAACATTTTGTTAGACCTTTAAAAACTAAAAACATTCGAGACCCTCCTGGGCAACTCGGTGAGACCTCATCTCTACAATAAATCAAAAAATCAGACGGGCGTGGTAGCGCATGCCTGTAATTCCGGCTACTCGGAAGGCTGGGGCGGAAGGATCGCCGGAGCCCAGCAGGTCGAGGCTGCGGTGGCCAGGATTGCACTCCAGTCTGGGTGACAGAGTGAGACTCCAACTCAAAATAAATAAATAAATAAATAAAAAACTAAAAGCACTAAGATTTTAGGTATAAAAGCATTTGTCTTCTGCTTTAATGGGTAAATTTTGGTAGGAATTGAAAAGTTATTCAGGGCCCCTGACTTAACAACTACTTGGATCATTTCAGGTACCTGTAAAAAAAAAACTAACATGAAGGAAGCAACCTAAGGATATATTTTAAGAAATGAGGAAAGTGCTAATAAGAAGATGCTTTTCAGCTGTAATATTTTGTTTTACTGACTAATGAAAAGATAAAATCAAACCAAATACAGAAAATGACATATTATGAAATAGACATATAAAATTTAATCCCTTTGGTTTGAAATACATCTTCAAGGATACAATTAAAAACAACAAACAAGACAGATCAATTTCATAAAACAAAATATAAAATAGTTGTATGACCCATGTCCCAGGATATCTTAGGAAACCAGCAATTTAGTTCACATACTTCATTAGAATATTTTAACCTAAGAATGTAACTATCAATCCTACTTATACAAATGACCTATTCTCATTCCCTGAACCTAAAGATACCCGTGATTTTTTAATAAAATTACATTTTTTAGTATTTTTATATATTTAAACATGTGTACAAAATTGCTCCCCTGCCATGGTAATATATTTTCATAAACTCATGAATGCTTTCTAGAATTGTTAACATACAAGATCAAAGCTTGAAGGCTCTGAAACATGATTAAAAAATCATTTCATAATAGGAATACTAGGAAGAACTCCATTCCAAGTCGTATCACCGGGTACACCATAATTGCAGTATGTGTGCTGTAACGACTGTGTGTGTTTACTCCCTATCTGACTGATACTAACATATACAACAGACATGAATTGCAACAGTTTTTTTCTTTTACTTCATTTGTTAAACAGTGCAGAAATCCAGATAACAACATTCTCAATAGCAAACGGAATCTCTGTCACTTGAGAAGGTTTTGCTATGCTATAGAATGACTGCTTGTGTTTGGGAAAACACAGAGAAAAGGTGTCTAGTGGGTTCCACTAAGCACAGAATTCTATCAGCTTGGTAGACATCATCGAAAATAACTTAACTTTTTGTCTAGGGAAAGTCTTTTAAGGTAGATCTTACTGCATATCTTCACTGTATGTACACAGACACCATATTTATATATTATATATTTATATAAGACATGTATGTACACATTTACAGACACAGACCTTCAAAAATATATTGCACTTATATACAATGCAGCTTTATCTTAACTGATTTCATACTGTAACCCATTTAATTCTTCATAAGAAAGGCAGTCAAATATGTCCAAGAAAGTTGAAGGAAGATTTCAGTAACATGCCCTCTTTTAGTAAACATTTGGTGGAGGCTGAGAGGGTGGGGGAGAAAGGGTTCCCCTCACTCTTCAGGTGTGCTCCCACTAACCTGAGACAGTGGAGTCATACTGAGTTCAGGCAAGGGCACCAAATCCTTAAAGCCACACCTACTGCTTTTTCAGACTTCACTAGTGAGTAGGCCCACTAACATTGCAGGGACAACACAGATATCCCAATTTTGATAAATAAGGTAACAGACACCCTAAAGGTTCCCGGAGACTCTGTTAAGTCTTAGAATAGTTTTCACTTTAAATTATAGTATATCAGAAAATTCAACCATATTATGGTATGTGGATTTTTCTGCCGTCTGAAAAACGCCAATGCAACAGATTAAATGCTACCACCAAGCCAGATGTAGCTCCAGTGTCCCTTGCCACCCGCCTGTGCTTGCCGATGACTGAGGGGGCAGCTGCGCTTGCCAAACCCTAAGACCTAGAAACACCTTCATGGAACTGATGGGGGGATGTGCGCTGCTGGCCTTAGATCTCAGTCAGGGTGAGCTTGTAGGAACCTCCCACCTCCACCTCCTCAATTTGCAGCTGGAAGGTGTCTTCGTTGGAGTAATGCTTCACAATGTTGTCATCCATATTCACTAGAATCCTGGACAAGGAGAGAAAAGACAAGCTGACTTAACTCTTACCCAGCGTTGGAGAGAGACCTAGATTTCACTGTTAGCTCTGTTACTTACTGGTCGTGATGTGGGAGACAAATTAGTTAAACCTTACTAAACCTGAAATTTTTCATCTATAAAATGGGAAAAATGATGGAGTCTTTCTTTCTTTCTTTCTTTTTTTGAGTTGGAGTCTCACTCTGTTGCCCAGGCTGGAGTGCAGTGGCACGTTCACGACCACCCCAGCATTGAACCACTGGGTTCAGGCAAACCTTCCGCCTCAGCCTTCCAAGTAGCCAGAACTAGAGGCGTGCGCTACCATGCTCAGCTAATATTTTATTTTTTTGGTATATTGTAGAGATGAGGTCTCGCCAAGTTGCCCAGGCTGTTCTGGAACCTGTTCTCAATTCCTTCACCTCGGCCTCCCAAAGTGCTAGAATTGCAGGCTTGAGCCACTGCACCCGGCCGATGGGGTCTTTCTTATAAGACTGTTGAAAAGAATTAGAAGAGGGAATCAGGAAAAAGCACTTACATCACAGTGCATGGCACGTGGTAAACAAAAATGACTAGCTTATTTACGTTATTATTTCTAGCATATAGTAGTCACCCGATAAGTGGTATTAATTATAACAAAATAAATCGACAGAAGTAACTTTTCGTTGGTCCAGCTTTAGAAAACATATGGATAAAATTAATCTACATGGCCTGAAGCCATAGCTCCTGACAAATTATCCTCTCTGGCAAGTTATCGTCAAAGTTTAAGTGAACCACTATTAAGTCCACCTCTTTCCACCTCTAGAAATTTCCAGTTTGAATTTTTTTTAGAATTATGTCCCCAAATTCTTATGCTATACCCTGTTTATCCATGCCAAACAGTACAGACACTTCAGTAAAACAGAACTAAAAATATTAATTTCTGTACAAAGCAACAATGCTACATAATTTGAAAACCCAATCCAAGGCAGGATGGCAGAGCAGAAAGCACAGGGCTGGAGAGGCAGCCTCACTGGATCTGGGTCATGGCTCCTCCATGAACGAGCCCTCCAACCTCGGACCACCAGGCTCTGGAGCTCTCTGAGCCCAGCTCCTGGTCTACAAACTACGAGTAGTAAGAACCATCTCAGAAAGACCAGGTGAAGACTAAATGCAGTGACCTGGAAAGTGCCCAGCCCAGTGTCTGGCCACAGTAGGCTCTGCACATACAGGTACTGTCATGGTTGTCCTTGGTATGTGCCACCACGCACCCCAGGACTTGGAGCCACTTCACCAAATAAAATAAAACCTTTACTTAGAAAAACGATCCACAAAGATCTCTTTAGAGGCAGACTGATTTTATCTAAATAACTGAGCACAAAAATTGTAATCTAGCACTCATGTTTCCATGGTGCTTCTGCACCAGGCACCAGGCACGTGCGCCACGCTGGCATGGAGCACTGGTGCTTTCAGAGGCACACGGGACGCAGTGGTTGCTCACCCCTTTTTACACTTCTTGAATATCTTCCCAATCTTGTCATGGGGAACATCATATTTGTCTGAGATCTAAAAGAATAACAAAAAAGTTACCAAATGTTGTTCCCATAGCTTTAAAAAACAAACAATAACATATATAGACATATACATATATAGTTTTTCAACTTTTATGTTTTCCAAAAATGCATACACAAAGACATGGAAAAGACCCAGGCCATGTTCTGGGGGTCCTCAACCTCCCCTCAGTCCTGGTCATTCCCTCTGTAATGAGCCATGAGTGGCCCACACGATCCAGTGATGTAAACTTTGGATGCCTTCCTCTCAGGGCATGCAGACTATTTTTTTTTTTAAATTTTTAATTTTAAAGATGTAGGATACAATTCAGGGTTAGGTATACAAGTGTTCACATGCGAGTACCCTTGTTGATGAGGTGTGCCCTGCTCCAGCAGTTTTCCACTATCATACAGTCTATTTTTAAAGAGAATGGTTAAACTATTCCAAAGGCCAACAGCGGATTCAGTCTAGATCAGAGACTACTGGACTTGTTGTCTAGACCACTTCTTAGCTTGGGATCCCTCTGCACCTCCATCTACAGAGCAACGCAAAGGCAGTCGTGAGAAACTGGGCCTCGAAGACAAACCTTCAGATCCCTATCATGCTTTCAAAAGTGTGCATTTCACACCAAATCCCAGTTCTGTGCTCTCTCCAGGCAAACATGCCCTTTTTCTTTTCTGTATCACTGGGTGATAATAATTTGTATATTATGAAATCCCAACCCCAAAAGATATAGGACACCACCGTGAACTGCCTGTGAGAGTTGTGAACATGTCACACTGGTGCAGTGATTCTCTCTCTTTTCCACATTCTCCTTTTCCCAATCATAATCCGAGAGTTTTTATGATAAGAAATGACAACGGGTAGTCAAAAGGCAAAATAAAGAGAAACGTAGGAGAAACTGCAGGAAGTAGGATGCGGCAGTGGGATTGCAGTGCTGCTTGTGATGTAGGCGGGGCATGTGGAGTCATGCCTGGGAGCTCCAGGTGCCCTGAGATGACATGGCAGCTCCCCAAACCCACGCCCTCACCCACTGTATTCATCTTCATTGTACTTATCAGTACCTGCAAAATTACATATTGATCCCTTTGCTTATGGTACCATCTCCATCTTCCTAACTGGAACGTAAACACTACTTGACACTGCCTCAATTACTCTCGGAACTCCAGTGCCTACAACAGTGCCAGGCACAGAGCAAGCTCTTCAGAAGATAAATTAAGCGAATTCAGGGGGAGCCAGGGGAGACATTTCTAGCCTAATTATGGACACACTTTGAGTTCACAGATTTCTGTAGCCTCCAGGGGCCTGACGTGGGTATATATCGGGACAAAGTGCCCATTATTTGAATTTTCCTGAGGGCAAAGCCAGAATGGGAAACCAGCGCAGCATCCTTCTGTGTGGTCCTTCACTGATCTCCCCAAGGGGATGTGGGTTCAGTTTTCTCCAGCCCTGTGTTGAAATCCTATAAGAAGTGTTTATGATGTCACTGGTTACACTTCTAAATTTCCTCAAATAGGCTTTGGGTAAGGTATGGACACAAGTGCAGTAATTTCCTAGGATAAGGAGTTTCAAGAGCAGACGCGGGAGCCACTGTTTTTATGTATGAAGTTTTAAAGATTTTACTTGATTAAAAATAACTTGCTAGCTTGTAAAGGGTTTGATAAATGGCCATCTTCACTTAACCATGTATATAAAAATTAAACTACTTCATAGACCATCAGGAATACATTCAATTCAGTGGAGCAGACACGACTGAGTGACTACTGCAGGGTAAGACCCCTCAGTGAACATGAAATGTGAGACACACCAGGGCTTAAGAAAGGTGTCAACAACCCCAGCAGAGATCCAACAAAGGAATTTAGATCATCTGATAAAATTTAAAATTTGTTTTAGTGAATCCTGTGCAAGTTTGCTTTCATTTTTTAAAGGTGATTACAGAGTTGATCTTACTTACAGCTTCCATCAAGCCCTTCAAAGATGGAGTCTTGAGCATCAGGGCATCAAAGACTTCTTCTGACTCTTTTCGAACATAGAGCAGTACTAATCAATCCCCAACCAGGAGTAAGGATTGAAAAAAAAAGAAAAAGGACGTAGTTAATTCACAAGAGCAAAATACGAAAACAGATCATGGGTGCTGATTTATTAAAATAAACACATTTTTTAAAAAAGCCAAAAATTAGCTAGCCATCATGGTGCATGCCTGTAGTCTCAGCTACTCGGGAGGCTAAGCCAGAAGGATGGTCTGAGTCTAGGAGGCCGAGGCTGAGGTGAGCCATGATTGCGTCACTGCACTATAGCTTGGGCAACAGAGTGAGACCCTGACTCAGAAAACAAAAACAAGGCCAGGTGTGGTAGCTCAAACCTGTAACCCCAGTACTTGTGGGAGGCTGACGCAAGAGCCTTGCCTGAGCCCACGGGTTTGAGACTGACCTGGGCCACCTGGAGAGACTTCATTTCTACAATAAATCAAAAAATTAACCAGGTGTGGTAGCGCGCAGCTGTAGTTACAGTTACTTGGAAGGCTGAGGCAGAAGGATCACCTGAGCCCAGCAGGTCGAGGCTGCCACTGCACTCCAGCCTGGGTGACAGACAGAGTGAGACTCCAAGTCAAACAAAAACAAAAACACAAAACAACCAAAACAAAACTCCAAAACCAAATATTAACCAATATGAAATGTGTCTTAGTAAACACAGAGTTGAGTTTCTCTTAACTCTGCTGTAAGCTCAGGTGATGGGCTGTAAGGGTCCTCAAGGAAGTAAGGTGGACAAGACTTGTTTGTGTAATTTATACTGCCGGCAGATTCAGAAATCACTTCTGATTTAAAACTCATCCTAAGACATGAACGCCAACACACCTCTCTTTGGCTCTTCTGTCCTCGCCAGCTTAACCGGAGGTGAGACAGCAAAGTCATCTTCTGTGCTGTATGGCCCCCTTTTCAGGGCAGAGCTGCAGAGGATCCAAAACGCACCATGAATGACTCAACTTAAATTGGCTGCATTAACCAAGAGTTTTAGGGCAACCACTGAAATTTAGTTTTTAAATGACTTTCATTCTGTACCTGGCCCAGTTTCCTCATTTGTGGATGAAGAATCTGAGGCCCAAAGAAACACTGATGAAACCAGGGCTCATGGATATTTAAGATAGACCTCGGACCATACTCGGGCTACCTGCCAGATCTCCCACTGCTCCTACATGAGGTGAAGCTGCCTTCTCAATGTGGAACACTTCTTTTCAGGAAGCACTGAGATAACCTTTATAGGTGGTAACAAAAGACAGCACATTTCAAAAAGGTGAGAAAGTGTGAGCAGCAGACGCAAGGCCAGGCTGGCTGAAACACAGTGTCCCACAGGAAGCCAATCTAGAGAGGGAAGTCAGCTCTGCTGTGAACTATCCTGACCATCCAGCTCTAAGGAGTTATAGATTTTACATCATGAGTAAAAGGGAATCTTTGAAACCTTTGTGAGACAGAATGCTGTCTCCAAAGTGTGTGGGCAGGACTGGAGAGGATCTGGGACCTACAAGCAGAATAGCAAGTTGGAGGACTGTGGTGATAAAAGCATAAGATTCTAGAGATCTAAAATACAGCAGGGTCAGTGGAAGTGGAAAGGGGAGAAGGGACAGAGGAGAGCCTAAGAGAGAAGAGTTCAGATCCGAGGGCTTGGTTATCATAGGCCTGAGTCGTGGAGGGGCCAGCGGAGGGTTGGAGGTGAGCAAGACAAGAGGCAAATAAAGTGAAGATGAACACTGGGTGTGACCAATTCAGGAGTGGGGGCTGGGCCCTCTGAGCTTTGTCTCAGCTCCTAGAAAGTAACAGGCATCCTGTGAAGGCGCCCAAGGGACTCATGTCTAAAACTAAGAATTAAAGTTAAGATAGAAGGCACCGCTGGTAACATGCATAGAGTGTGAGTATCCCACACATCATGGTGCAAGTCTTGGGAGGAGATGAAAGATGAGGGAAGAGGGAGGCTAAGGAAAGAACATTCTGTTAACACCTCAGCTCTCTTCATCATGATGCACATTTCTGAGGGTAGATTGGTGTCAAGAGAAAAGGGAGATTTAAAAACCAAAAGTGAATCTTCCCTTCTTGGACAACTCAGCCCTAGAGCCATCAGGAAGGACAAGCAATGTGGAGGTCTGGACAAGTTTGGGGGGCTGCTCATGGCCCACAGGGGCAGCATCAGCCCTCCACACTGCAGAGTGTGGGAGCATCCCCAGCATGGGAAGGCAGAGTCCAGTTCTGGAACAATCTGAGTATCAAAGTAAATAATAGTGGATTACAACTTACTGAATAAAACAGAAATCGATGAGCCCACACTGACATAAATGAATGAATGAATCAACTGAAAGTCTGACGAGCAGTGAGATATTTACAAAGCTACGATGCACCTCCCCTGACAACACTTATTACAAAAGGAGAAAGAACAGCTTCGCAGTGGAGAAGCTGGCAGATACCACCTTAATAAAGTGACCAAAGTGAACACCATTAGTAACGGGAAAAACTGAAACCGAGTGCTCTCTGATAGGACTCACTGAGAACACAGCCTCACCTCCATGGTGTCCTTGCCAAGATGCAGAACCAGAATCTAATAGTGAGAAAACGACAGACAGACCCAAGTTGAGGAATAGTCTACAAAACAAGTGCTATAATAGTCAAAAGTATTTGGTCAGAAAAGTTGAGAAGAAGCTGAGAAAATTCCAAATTGCATAAGATGAAAGAATATGACAACTAACGACAACGTGTGATTCTGAACTGAATCCTTTTTGCTACAGAGGACAGTCATGGATAGCAGGCAAAATTGGAGTGGATCTGAGACTATACAGTGCTAACGTATCAATGTGAACATTCCAGTTTTGACTGTGAGGCAGGAAAACATCCTTGTCTGTGGGATGTACACACCAAAGTACTCAGGAATGACAGGTCACTGGGCTGGCAAATTGTTCTCAATGGCTCAGGAAAAAATGAGTTCTTTGCACTATACTTGAAGTTTTTCTGTAAGTTTGAGATTTTTTCTAAATAAAATAAATTTACTAAAACAAAACAAAACATAAATCTTACCCTTCACCCTCCAATTCTTCTGAGGCAATGGAAAGGACCTAAGACCAAGGAAACATATTGCTTTTCACACAGCTACTCAAAATAATAGACCATAAATAAAATTATTCCTAAAATTTAAATAATTTTGAACCTGACAGATCCAATACAAAATCCCTTAGCTGTATTTTTCAATAACCAGATTGTTATAGGTGTCTTGAACTCCTCTCACTCTGGGGTTGGGCCAAATCCAGTCCAGAGCTTGTTTATATAAAGAAAGTCTTTACTGAAACAGAGTCCCACTCACTCATGACACACTGTTTATGGTTGCTTCTCCAGGAAAAAGGCAGTGCCAAGCAGCACAGCAGAGACTGTGGTTCCCCCAAACCTAAAACCTTTACCATCCACCCCTCTACAGAAACAGTGTGCCGCCCCCAGTCACCCAAAGCTTACCATAGAAAGCAAGCACTGGCCATGGCTCCAGGTACGCTAGAAAATCTTTAGTCCTTTCAACTCTATCTACAAAGTGCATGGAGGACTGTCTTTTTGATATTTATTTGGGCTCAGCATAAAAAGCACGCTCCACTTGACTGAAGTTCCTATCTCTAGTAAGCTTCTGCCATAAAAGAGAGTGTGACTGTTTTTAAATTCAGCTTTAGTTGCCAAGACATGGCTGAGCACGCATGCATGACAACTCAGTCCCTGAACCCCGAGAAGAGCCTTCAGACACTCTTTATGCCACGAAGGCTCCCTAACCCAGGTTTCCTGAGTTTCGTTCACCAGATGGTAGACTCCGACTCCAAACCGCATCACTATTCTAGAATCTTTTAAATGAGCTAGGATGAGAGGATAAGAATGACGAATGAACACAACAGAACAAAGTGGACGGGGCTGGCACTGCGTCTTCAAACCAGTGACCCTCGACGGGTTTTATCAAGCTGGCATCATGCCACCCCAGCCGGATATTACAAGGAGCTAACTGGTCAAACCTCGCTAAATGTTGGCTTCTGTCCCATGAATAATGACCAAGACTTTTTTTTTCTGCCATGCCCTGTTTCCCGGTAACCTCCCTGGGACACTCGTTACCTACATGAGTGCCCCGCTGCAGGCTGGCAAAATGCACGTCAGGAATGAAGAGGACAGGCTGAGTGTCAAGATCAAGAAAGGGCTTGAAAACCGTGATATCCATTCGCTTGTGAGAGGGAAGCAGTGGCACTTTAACATCTGAAACTGAAAAAAAGGGGAGAAGGCCAAGGTCAAAGGGTTAGACACAGACTGGATGCAGGCCATAAAGCATTTGCCTCAATGTGGCAGCAGTTTAAATTGTAGCACTCTGTAAGATACAGGTCATGTTGCCTGCACTAAGAAAAATCACAGTTTATGGAAAGGAATTTGTTGTGTGTATGTCCACTAAAATCAATGGAAAATACTACCCAAATCAAAACAGAAAACCGATCTTTAGACACACAGACACACACACAGAAGATTAAAAGGCAAAGCAGACTTAGTTTTCATTGAAAGGTTAAAATTTATAAATTGTTTGAACATAATTTGGAAATAATTTCACCTCAGGTATCCTCATTAAATAATTTACATTATAACAACAATGTACCCTTTGGATTTAGAACACACCAAGACATTCAACAAGGAGGTTAAGCATAAGCATACTTATCTATTTTTAATTTAATAAATTATAGACTCTGGCCATACATGGCGGCACATTCCTATAGTCCCAGAACTGAGAGGGTGAGAGAGGAGGATTACTTGAGCCCAGGAGTTTGAAACCATCCTTGGCAACATGGTAAGACCTTTCTCTACCAAACAAACAAACAAACAAACAAACAAACAAACAAACAAACTAGCTGGTTATGGTGGCATGTGCCTATAGTCCTGGCTACTAAGGAGGCTGAGGTGGAAAGATCACCTGAGCCCAGGAAGTCAAGGCTGTGGTGAGCTGTGATTGTGCCACTGTACTCCAGCCTCGGTGACAGAGTGAGACCCTGACTCATAAATCAATCAATCAATCAATCAATCCATCCATCCATCCATCTTCCCCCATAACCTGGCCCTGAAGCACTCAGTAATGAGGTTCCCTAGTTAGCGAGCTGCTCTCTGAAGCAACACTAGGAATTTGCAGTCCGATGTCAGCAGCAGAATTCTGACTAACGTGCTGCAGGGCAGACGTCTGCTGAGCCAGACAGACTGTTCAAAGAGCATGCCAGAAGCTCACGTACTACAGACGAATGAGCACAGGGCAGCACTTCTTACCTTCCAGACACAGGGTTTTGTGAATATGAATATCGGTCACATTTAAAAAAGAAAACAGAGCCTTCCTGGTGAGGTGTTCAGACAGAAACCCTGTGCACTCTGCAAGTGTTAGTTTACTCTACTGCACATAAGAAAATGATGCTCATTTGGAATGAAGGCATCCTGCGTTCTGACGGTCACGATTATTATTTTTAAAAATCGAGACGCATCCCAGTTTTAGTAGCTATTCACGTACAATGTATGTCACTCTTCAGGACTGGAACCAGAAGCCTGAACTAAAACCCACAGCAAAAAGCTGAACTCTGGAAAACCACAAGGAGTCAGCCTCTAGCTCCCCAGGAAGATCACCCAGTTAGCCATTCATCTGCTGTTGTAGCCGATGAGACAGCAAGGTCACCACCACTGCAGAACAGCAGAAACCCACTACTGCGTCTTCTGCTGGAAAGCGCCAGCCACCACTCAGAACGGAAAAGGCCTGAAGCCCGGTGGGAACATGTCACTTACAGGTGCCCAACTGGGAGCCGGGAGCGGTACACTTGCCTTTTCTCTTGCTTTGCTTTCGTTCTTCATCCCTGATTTTCCGCTCAGCTCCCTGCAGGTGAAGAGAAGACAAGTTATGACCCTGTTTACCTGACCCTCTGAAATATCTAACTCTCTCCCCTCTGGAAATGAGTTTCATGACTTACTGTATTCACGGGACTCATCATAATCATTTCCTCTAAGCAGGCTAGTCTTAAAAATTATTTTTAACTACGTGAAATCACAGGGAACAACATTTATTTGAAAAACAAACAAAGCAAAATTCCTCTCAGTGAAGTATGTGTCCAGGCTAAATGAAAAGCTGAGAAAATCTGCCAATGTATCACACTGCCTGTAGAGACACAAGGACCTTTTCTCTTTGACTAGAAGAAAAAGAAAATGAAAGAAAAACACAAGGGGACCATACTTTTGAGTGTACTCTCTGACATGGGCAGTGTTATCACTGAATGTTGTGCTTCTGTCCAAGGGCTTGGCATCAACCAAGTGGAAGACATGACCAAGAACAAAGATGTGAAGAGAGATCTGCAGAATCACTTAAAAGAGAAAAATGCACCCAGGGTCCTACAGAAAGGATACCTCTGTACAACGTCTATCAATTGTGCAAAGAGTGACCGTGCAACTGAACCCACAAACATTTTTATTTTTTACTTTTATATTTACTTATTTATTTTAGAAATGTGGGGTACAATTCAGGATTAGGTATACAAGTGGTTATCACACAGGCAATGTTTGGGCCTCCCTTTGGTCCCCACTTTGCCTGACTTGAGATCAGGTACTCTTATTAACATTTTTTAAAAAAGCATATTAGCAACCAACATGGCCTAAAATCAAGCAATTGATACACTTAAAACATAACATTTATTCATTTTGCTTGATTTAATGGCATTAATTTCTGGATGGCACAGATTTCTTTACAAAGTTATCCAGTTAAATATAAACTGGTGTTTTTCTGTTAAATAAATTTGTTGCAAGCAAAGAGAAGCCAAAAAAATGATCCCACTGATCTTGGTATTATTATACAATAAGGGCCACATTTTAAAAAACAGAATAAAATACTACCTTCTGCCTTTTCTAGAATGTGGTAAACACACAACCTGTTTATAAAAATTGCTATGTAATAATGACATAAATATTGTCTCCCCAGCGCACGCGCACGCGCGCACACACACACACACACACACACACACACACACAAACAGGTAAATATCCCAAATTTCCTATAGTGCACGGAATTGATCTGAATCTCTCTGTCCCTTCTAACAGCCTTACAATACTTCATTTTGATGACAAACTACACCCCCTAAAAGGTTGTTTTACAAAATGGGACACTCCTTCCTTATTTATCCATCATATCCGTAAAGAATGATAAGGGACTTCTGCTTCTACCTAACTGGAGTAACACAGACCAGATTTACCCTCCACCCTGAAACAACAAAAACCAGCTGGGATTGTGAGAGCCCTGGCAGGCCACAAAAAAAAAGCAACCCCTGATAGGACAAATGTGCTGAGTGAGTCCTTCAGCCATGCAGGGTTCCTGCTCTCAGAGTTTCCAGGCTGTGGCAGTCTGGGTGGTCTTAGTCCAGGTCCCCTGGGTTGAGGAGACAGGGCTGAAAATCCAAAGTGATCAAGGAAGAAGGACTAAGTACCAAGTGGGGAAGAGCTCCAAGACAGAGCCCTGGAGATCTTCAGAGGGTCCCCCTTGAGTATTCAGCAGAGTACTGATAGGTGCACAGGTGTGAGGAAATTAACCAAGGCTGGGGTGGGGATGGAAAGTGACATCTGAAAAGATTAGAGAAACAGTGCCTGAAACTCACACAGGGCCCCAAACAGTACCTGTTCCCCCCAATCAGACTGGAAAAAGTTATAATTCATAGGGCACCGGGTGAGATACTCAGGAAAATCCTGCTCAGGATTGTAGAATAATTAGCTTTACACTGAGTATGGCTCCTGACCCATCTAGCAAATTAGGAAAATAAGATCTGAAAGGATCAATCAGTTTCCATGTAACTTAACTAGATCTCAGGACAAAGTCTCTGAAGCTTCACAGAAATAAAAAAATGTCCAGCACCCAGCAAGGTAAGATCCACAACAACTGGCGTCCAGCAAATTGCCAGGCATGCAGAGAAGCAGGAAAACACAACTGTAATGAGAGGAACAATCAAGCCACCAAAATGACTCAGAACTGACATAGATGTCAGACAAAAACCTCAAGATAGCTATTACAACTGCATTCCATATGTTCAAGAAGCTAGTGAAAAAACTAAACGTGCTAAGTAGAGACATGAAAGATATAAAGCACTCAGCTTGAATTTCTAGAGATCAAAACTACAACATCTAAGATAAAAAATACCCTGGATGAGACTACAGCAGTTTCGACTCAGCAGAAAGAAAGGCTGGTGAACCTTAGGACATAATGAAAACTATCCAAGATGAAGCAGAGAGGAAAAGCCCTCCAAAATAATGACAAGGGCATCAGTGAGCTCTGGAGCAACTTCAAACACCTTATATATGTGTAATAGGGTTCCCCAAGGAGGGGGAAGGAGGAAACATACATGAAGAAACAACGGTTGAAAACCTTTGAATTTGATGAAAACTATGAACTAACCTGGTTGTGATGGCTCACACCTGTAATCCCAGCACTTTGAGAGGCCAAGGCAGGAGGATCACTTGAGCCCAGGAATTTGAGACCAGCCTGGGCAAACAGTGAACTCTCATCGCTACAAAAAAAAAAAAAAAAAAAAAAAAAAAGCCAAGG